ATAAAAGAATAATAATAATATGGCAATATTACAATCCTTTGGCAATAAATTCATTAAAGAAAATGAACAAATTCCTTGAAAAATACAACTTACCAAAAACTGACACAAGAAGAAATATTCATTTAAAGTCACTCAGCCAGGAAGGTTAAAAATAAAAATAAACAAAAGAAGAAACAAAAATTCAGAATATTCCTATAACAGTTAAAAAAACTGAGTTAGTAATTTAAAACCTTCTTACGAAGAAAATTCCAGGCCAAGATAGTTTTTTTTGTTGTTGTTGTTGTTGTTGTTGTTTTTTTAGGACACATGACTATGACTCAGCCTCAGGAGGTCCTGATGTCATGTGCCCCGGGATAGCTTTAAAAGAAGAGAAAGTCAATGAAATTTCCTAGAAGGCAGAGCAAAAAAACAAAGACCAGTTCAAGAGGTTCAGAATCCATGAATTATATCAAACATTTAGGAAACAATGCCAATTTTACACAAGCTGTTTCAGAAAATAAAGAAGCAAAGAACAGTTCTCAATTCATTTTGACGAAGACAGCATGACCTTGATAGCAAATCCTGACAAAGATATTACAAGAAAATTTTAGACTACCATCCCTCATGCGCACAGATGTAAACACCCTTAACAAAATACCAATAAATCAAATCTAGCAATTTATAAAACAATAATGCATCATGACCAAGGGGGTTTATTTCAGGAATGCATGGTTGGTTTGATGTTTCATTTGTATAATTCACCATATTGGCCAAATCAAGAAAGAAAAAAACTATGATCAGTGTTGTTTAGAAAAGTATTGATAAATTAATGAGAGTACCTCAACAACAAAATGATCATAGTTATTTTGGAAAAGATAGAAACTTTGTTAGAACTCTTTACACTTATTTTATGGTTAAGAATATATTTTTGTTTGCTTGTTTTAAAATTTCATCATGTGGAGGCATGGACACCATAGTCTTTTCCATATCTTAGGAATGACGATCCTAGGACTTTGTCTCTAGCCGTTTGTGTGATCATAGGTGATTTAGACTTCTCTGGTCATCTTTCAAGTGAGAAAAAGAACAGATGTCCTTCATAAAGGGTTGAGGACTGGAGCACTGGGTGTTGCAACCACACTCACAATCTTACCTTAAATTCTGTGAATTGCCATTGGTAGAAATAATTGGCAGATTATATTTGCAGACAAATAAAGTTTATTACCCCACCTAATTTTCCCAGCCTACAGATGCAGAGTGAGAATCTAATTAAGATAGCCAGCCATCTGCTGGATTAGGCCATATAGCTCCCTTTTAACTAGCTGGGTTATATTTGACTTGACAACATTGTTCTACGTGGTTACTGATGATAAACACACCCTCCAGCCCTGGGGACAGACCCTGGACCACCAAAGCCCATTTAAGGATTAACATTCATGATGCCCCAATCCTGCCTATATTACGTAATTTACTTGTGTTTAAACAAAACAAAACAAAAAACACAAAAGAAGCAAGGCCAGGCACGGTGGGCTCAAGCCTGTAATCCCAGCACTTTGGGAGGCCAAGGTGGGTGGGTCCTGAGGTCAGGAGTTCCAGATCAGCCTGGCCAACATGATGAAACCCCATCTCTACTAAAAATATAAAAATTCGCTGGGCATGGTGATGTGTGCCTGTAATCCCAGCTACTTGGGATGCTGAGGCAGGAGAATCACTTGAACCCAGGAGGTGGAGGTTGCAGTGAGCCGAGATGGCACCACTGCACTCCAGCCTGGGCAAGATAGAGCGAGACTCCATCTCAAAATAAAATAAAATAAAATAAAATCGCTGTGATTTACATGTTTTTCCTTCTCTCTCTCTCTCTCTCTCTTTCTGTTTTTTGGTGGAGTCTGACTCTGTTGCTCAGGCTGGAGTGCAGTGCCACAATCTCTGCTCACTAGAACCTCCGCCTCCTGGGTTCAAGTGATTCTCCTGCTTTCCTGCCTCAGCCTCCCAAGTAGCTGGGATTACAGGCGCCCGCTGCCATGCCTGGCTAAGTTTTGTATTTTTAGTAGAGATGGAGTTTTCACCATGTTGACCAGGCTGATCTCGAACTCCTGACCTCAAGTGATGCACCTGCCTCATCCTCCCAAAGTGCTGGAATTACAAATGTAAGCCACTGTGGCTGACTCATGCGTTTCATTTTTATTCCAGAACGTCCTATGAAGAAGGTATTATTGGGATTCTTACTGTCCATATGAGGAATCCATACCCCTAGCAGGACCTGACTTCTCCCCATATTCCTCTTTACTGCTTTATGTTGTTGTCTTCTTCCTGTTTTAGAAGGCAGACCCATGTTTGACTCACATCTTACTCATTTAGCACTCAGTCTGTTGCACGCCTATTGCACAGTAGGTCTTAGTAAATATCTACTGCTTGGAATTTGATAAAGTATGGCCCTCCTATTCATCCTCATTGGTCTAACAAGGCCTTCTAAACCAATCAGCCTGGAAAGTGAATTCCACATTCTGGCATGAATCACCACAGCCACCTCGCCCATGATAAATAGGTCAGAGGGGATTTCACAGTGTTTCCTGGAAACTGCTCCACTCCTCCCTTGCGAGGCAGCATTTTATGGTAGGAAACTCTTGGCTTCAGAAAGCAGATGGGTTACGTGCCAATGTCCACTCTTAGACAAGTTATTTAGTTTCTCTAAGCCTCGGTTTCCTCATCTGTGACATTTTTTTTTTGATGAAATGAGATACTATGCATAGTTTTCATTTCCGATCCCCTCATTCTTCTGTATTCCTCCTCTCTGTGCAAACAAGACGTGGGACAGGCGCATGGTGGCTCACGCCTGTAATTTTGGCACTTTGGGAGGCTGAGGTGAGAGGGTTGTTTGAGGTCAGAAGTTCAAAATGAGCCCAGGCAACATAGAGAGACCTTGTCTCTACAAAAAAAAGTTTTAAAAAATTAGCTGTGTGTGGTGGCACGTGCTTGTATTCCCAGCTACTTGGGAGGCTGAAGTGGGAGGATTGCTTGATCCCAGGAGGTGGAGGCTGTAATGAGCTATGATAGTGCCACACCCTAGCCAACAGAGCAAAACCTTGTCTAAAAGAAAGAAGAAAAGAAGAAAGAGGCCGGGCGCAGTGGCTCAAGCCTGTAATCCCAGCACTTTGGGAGGCCGAGGCGGGTGGATCACGAGGTCAGGAGATCGAGACTATCCTGGCTAACATGGTGAAACCCCGTCTCTACTAAAAATACAAAAAACTAGCCGGGCGTGGTGGCGGGCGCCTGTAGTCTCAGCTACTTGGGAGGCTGAGGCGGGAGAATGGCGTGAACCTGGGAGGCGGAGCTTGCAGTGAGCCGAGATGGCGCCACTGCACTCCAGCCTGGGAGACACAGCGAGACTCCGTCTCAAAAAAAAAAAAAAAAAAAAAAAAGAAAAGAAAAGAAGAAAGAAAGAAGGGAAAAAGAATAAAAAGGTAAATGGTAAAAGGTTTTAGGGGAAAAGGAGCCTGCAGAACAAGAATTAGGGGAATCAGGAGTGAGTGACAACGTGGAGGTCAGCGGTTCTGAGCTACAATCCCCGTCCTGTTTTATATAAATTGAGACTCTCATTCCTAAAATGGACTGGCTGTCTTGCAGGGTTTATAAGGATAATAAGAGATAACCATGTGACTTATCTAGCACACAGTGGGTACCCCATAAAGAGTAGCTATTACAAGGTAAACTAAGACATTTATCTTTTCCTCATTTTGCTACCCACTCTGTCCCCAAAGCAAACTCCAACTAATTCCTTCCAAAACACCATCTTTTTGCCACCAGCCCCCCCGGCCTTTTTTTTTTTTTTTTTTTTTTTTGAGACGAGACTCGCTCTGTTGCCCAGGCTGGAGCGCAGTGGCGCCATCTCCACTCACTGCAAGCTGCATCCCCCGGGTTCATTGCATTCTCCTGCTTCAGCCTCCCCGATAGCTGGGACTACCGGCGTTTGCCACCACGCCCGGCTAATTTTTTTGTATTTTTAGTAGGGACAGGGTTTCACAGTTTTCGCCAGCATGGTCTCGATCTCTTGACCTCGTGATCCACCCGCCTCGGCCTCCCAAAGTGCTGGGATTACAGGCATCAGCCACTGGGACCGGCCAATCCCCACCTCTTTTGAACACTTCTACTCTCCAGTCCACCCATACGTCCTGCAGTCAAGCCAGAGGAGGGAAAACAGAGCAAAAGAAAGTATTAAAGGAAGTAACTTTAAATCAGTAACTTTGAGAAAAATATTTAAGTTCCAATATTATGTGTGTGTGTGTGTGTGTGTGTGTGAGAGAGAGAGAGAGAGAAAGAGAGAGAGAGAGAGAGAGAGAAGGAGAGAGAAAGCCTTTGTTAAACTGGGTAACTCCAAATCCCAGGAAAGTAGAAATGGGAATTTTTATAAAAGCATGATATATCAGTAGAATGGAAATAAATCACCAGGTTTAAATCTGAGTGTGTGACTATGGGCTCCAGTCTTCAGGGACTGTATGTTCGCATGTCCCAATCCGGGACGAGGAAAGAGGAAGGATTAAAAAAAGAAGAAGAAAAAAGCATTGTGGTTTAACAGTTCCTACAGGTTTCCTTTTTTTTTTTTTTTTTTTTTTTTTTTGCTTTTTTTAAAGCTTGCCCCATAGTTATGGGAACACCTCTGGTCTCAGATGAGTGCTGGGAAGGAGGGGACTTGCTCCGGGCGCAAGTTTGTGCGGAAGCGCGACTGGACCTGGGCTCTGAATCTGGGGGTCCGGGGTTCTGCACCCAGTCGTCAGCTTCCTCATCCGCAGAGTGGCCCCCAGAAGCCTCCGGGTGGTCGCGAGGATGCTCTAAACCCCGGGGGCTAAGGCCGAGCCCAGCGTCCCGCGCCCAGCCCGCGGGAGCTCTCGAGGCTCGCAGCGCGGCCGACCTTCGCCACTTCGTGGGCGACTGGCACTTCGGTGCCCGCAGGCTCTCGAGGGTACCTCGCGAGGCCCGCCCAGTCCTCGCCGCCCGCCCCGCCGCGCCCCACGTGACTTCCTGACGGCTGCAGGGACTGCCCTTCCCGGGCTAGGTTTCGTTTCCTCGGCAGCCTCGGAGCGCGGTTGCAGTAGTCGCGTCCCGACCCCTGGGAGCACCATGGCACAGCTGTGCCCCCTGGCCGAGGAGCTGTCGTGCTCCATCTGCCTGGAGCCCTTCAAGGAGCCGGTCACCACTCCGTGCGGCCACAACTTCTGCGGTTCGTGCCTGAACGAGACGTGGGCCGTCCAGGGCGCCCCATACTTGTGCCCGCAGTGCCGCGCCGTTTACCAGGCGCGACCGCAGCTGCACAAGAACACTGTGCTGTGCAACGTGGTGGAGCAGTTCCTGCAGGCCGAGCTGGCCCGGGAGCCACCCGCCGACGGCTGGACGCCGCCCGCCCGCGCCTCTGCACCCAGCCCGGGTGCCCAGGTGGCTTGCGACCACTGCCTGAAGGAGGCCGCCGTGAAGACATGCTTGGTGTGCATGGCCTCCTTCTGTCAGGAGCACCTGCAGCCGCACTTCGACAGCCCCGCCTTCCAGGACCATCCGCTGCAGTCTCCCGTTCGCGACCTGTTGCGCCGCAAATGTTCCCAGCACAACCGGCTGCGAGAGTTTTTCTGCCCCGAGCACGGCGAGTGCATCTGCCACATCTGCCTGGTAGAGCATAAGGCCTGCTCTCCCGCGTCCCTGAGCCAGGCCAGCGCCAACCTGGAGGTAACGAATGGCCCGGGAGGGCGCAGAGGGCAGCCTGGGCCTGCTGGGTGGTGCAGAGGGGCCACCGGGGGCCTCTCTGCCACCCTCTGGACGCCCTGGGGGAGATGGGCCTGAATTCGAGGCCGGGGCATCTCCAATGTCAGAGTAGAAAGGGGCTGGGAGATTATATAGTCCTCTGCCATCATCCATGAAGACAGGTTAGGTTGCTTGCCATAAGCCTGTCTTTGTCTGATGGTGTTTATTTTTATTTTTTTTGAGACAGGGTGTCGTCCCTCTCACCCAAGCTGGAGTGCAGTGGCAGAATCACAGCTCACTGCAGCCTTGACTTCCCGGACTTAAGGGATCCTCCTACCTCAGCCTCAAGAGTAGCTGGGACCACAGACTCGCTAATTTTTTTACCTTTTTGTAGAGATGAGGTTTCGCCATGTTGCCCAGGCTGGTCTCAAATTCCTGAGCTCAAGCGATCTGCCCACCTCTACCTCCTAAAGCGCTAGGATTAAAGGCGTGAGCCACTGCACCCCACCATCTGATGGTGTTTAGTAGAGGGTTTTGAATGTCAACTATGAACCTTGGAGGTAACCTCTGTTCCTTCACGAAGTCCTGGTGGCACCCAGGAGGTGGATATGATTTAGTTTCATTTTACTCTTGAGGATACTGAGGTTCAGAGAAATGAACTTAGCCTGACCTAATGCAGTAAATGGCCACGCAAGCATTGCGGCCCAGGTTGGTTCGATTTCATAGTTTGCATTTCTCCCCATGGACCAGCCTCGTATCCAGGTCCGTAGAGTCTGGAGCACCAAACAGTCCAGGAAGCTTGAGGTCATGTAAGCAAAAGCCTTTGGTGGGCCAGAGAGTTCGTGTGATCAGGAAGGGTTGTTATTAGAGGCCTAAGAGGGAGGGTGGGCAGCCTCCCAGTAATCACTGGATCAGAACCACAGGGAGAGCCAACACTCTTGCACCATAGTGTCCTCTGTCCTGGCCGTGTGACTTTGAGCACAGGGTTTGGCCCCTGGACCTGGGTCCTCACCAGTATAGTGAGGCTGTGGGACTAGGTGGATTCCTAAGGGCCTTTCAGGTCTGCAATGTTTTTAGGTTGTCTGGGGATCATACCTTTCCCTTGTGGACTCAAAGCAGAGGCTGAAATCAAACCACCTTTTGTTACATCAGCCTAAGATCCAAAGCATGGCCTGATTTCATTTCATTCTCACAGCACCTTCAGGGAGAACAAGACCCGTCTTCGTGTTGTCAAAGGAGACAGTAGCCTGAGCAAGGTCAGAGTTGGGGGTCTGCATCCAGCTTTGTGTAGCATATAAGCTTGGCTTTTTTTTTTTTTTTCCTTTTAGAGACAGGGTCTTGCTATGTTGCCTAGGCTGTTCTTGAACTTCCGGCCTCAAGGGATCCTCCCATCTCAGCCTCCTGAGTAGCTGGGACTACAGGTGTGCCACCATGCCTGGCTATAAACTTGGCTTTTTTTTTTTCCTTCTTTTAGAGACAGGATCTTACTTTGTCACCCAGGCTGGAGTACAGTGGGGTGATCATAGCTCACTGTAATCTCCAACTCCTGGGCTCAGGTGATCCTCTTGCCTCAGCCTCCTGAGTAGGTAGTACTACAAATGTGAGCCACCACACCTGGCTAAGTTATAAAAAATTCTTGTGTAAAGACAGGATCTCACTATGTTGCCTTGGCTGGTCTTGAACTCCTGGCCTCAATGCTCCTCCCATCTTAGCCTCCCAGTAGCTGGGACTACAGGTGTGCTACCACCCGGCCTGGCTGTAAAATCAGATTTTTTTTTTTGAGACGGAGTCTTGCTCTGTTGCCAGGCTGGAGTGCAGTGGTGCGGTCTCAGCTCACTGCAACCTCTGCCTCCTGGTTCAAGCGATTCTCCTGCCTCAACCTCCTGAGTAGCTGGGACTACAGGCGTGTGCCACCATGCCCAGCTAATTTTTATATTTTTAGTACAGACTGGGTTTCATCATATTGGCCAGGCTGGTCTCAAAGTCCTGACCTTGTGATCCACCCACCTTGGCCTCCCAAAGTGCTGGGATTATAAGTGTGAGCCACCACGCCCAGCCCATATATATACATTTTTTAATCTTTTCTTTTAGAGACAGGTTTTCACTCTGTCACCCAGGCTGGAGTACAGTGGCATGATCATAGGTCACTCTAACCTTAAACCCTGGACTCAGGTGATCCTCCTGCCTCAGCCTCCTGAGTAGCTAGGACTACAAGTGCGTGCCACCACAGCCAGCTAATATTTTAAAACATTTTTTGTAGAGACAGGATCTCACTATGTTGTCCAGGCCGGTCTTGAACTCCCAACCCCAAGGGATCCTCCCACCTCAGCCTCCCAAAATGCTGGGATTACAGGCGTGAGCCAGGAGCCTGGCCTAAACTCTGCTGTTTATTCCTAACAACAGGCCTTCCTCTGCCAACGCCTGCCCTGCTGTCCTGACTTCCTGAGTCCTATAACAGGTCTGCTTTTTGAGCCCTGCTACTGCTGCCCATCACTGTTGGCAGAGCCAGTCTCAGCTGGGCAATGCCCTTGGCCTTGGGGGTTGGGTTGTCTTGGCCACTGGTATGGGCGGACTTGAGACTCTGGTGCCTCCCATGTGGAAGACCCAAGTCTCCAGTCTGTGAAGGGATCCTCAGAATTTCAAAAAGTCCTTTACCTTTGATTAGGGGATTATTGCTGCTACCAAAGTTTTCGGGTCACTTTCCTTTGGTCTGGAGTCATGTGGGCACCATTCATGATGAGGGTCCTGCTGCATGTGTTTGATTAATGGTGCATCAAATCTTTCAAAACACAGGGCTCAGGGTGTAGTGCTATGAGCAGCTCTTGAAAGTGAAGCAGTTGGCAGCCTTGGGGTGTTATGAGGTCTCTTCCTGCTCGGAGGCCAGCAAGGCCGGATGTATGTAGGCCTGGTCTTTGGCCCACACCTTATCTTGGCCACTGTTAGAGGCCAGGTCGAAGGGCGGTGTCACAGAGGTCAAGTTTGAAACATCATGAGCAGCTTGGGCTTTTTGGATTGAGTTAGTGTGGCCTTGGTCCCTGCCTCCAGCCCCTACATGTGACTGTCATTGGGTTGTTCAAATCCAGATTCAAGATCAGGTTCCGCCCAGAATATCTTGGGTGGAGTTGAAGAGTCTGGAAAATGGAAGACAGGGCTAGAGTATGTTGAGTCTGCTAGTTTCGGGAAGGAAATGGTTTTTTTCTGGAAATCTCCAGCATGCTCAGTTTGGACATGTGTCTATGATTTTAATATCAGGATCTTAGATGTGCCAGTCACTAGTAGTGTAGCTGGGGCAAGTCACTTAATTGTTCCATGCCTCAGTGTCTTTGTCTGTAAAGGCTGCATAATTCCTACCTCATAGTGTTGTTCTTAGCTTTAAGTAAGTTAATACAGGTAAAGCACTAGAACCATGCCTGGCATACAGTAAGTGCGTAATAAATACTAGCTGCTCTTGTTACAGCAGTGGTGATTTGCCTTCCCATTTCTGTGCCCCATTATTTCATCTGAGCAAGGAGGTAGGAGACTTAGATATTGATTATGAAAATTAATAGAAATCAGATGAGGATACTAGCTTCCTTCATATACAGTTTGCCTTTGTTTCTGGAGGTGGCTAGGATTGAGCAGATTTGCGGCTGGGCTTCAGCCCCTGTGAGCTGCTTCATCTTTTTTTTTTTTTTTTTTTTTTTTTTTTTTGAGATAGGGTCTCACTTAGTCACCTAGGCTGGAGTGCAGTGATGCCATCTCGACTCAATGCAGCCTTAACCTTCCGGATTCAAGCGATCCTCCTGCCTCAGCCCCCTAAGTAGCTGGGACTACAGGTGTGCACCACCATGCCTGGCTAATTTTTGTATTTTTAGTACAGACAGGGTTTTGCCATGTTGCCCAAGCTGGTCTCGAACTCCTGAGTGCAAATGATCCACCTGCCTGGGCCTCCTAAAGCACTAGGATTACAGGCATGAGCCACTGCGCCTGGCTGGCTGATTCATCTTCCCAGCCCTTGGTGGTCCCAGTCTACAGTGAGCCTTGGACTCTGGTTTCTGTCTCCCTGCCCTGTGAGGCTGACAAAGGCTCCCAGCTTTGCTCTGGGATTGGCAGATGCCTCTGGAGTGAACATCCTTGATATCAGGCTTATCTCTCTGGGCCCCCTTCCCCCTTCTCCTGGACCTTGACTTCTTAATCCTCTGCTTGATTGGCTCTCCAGCGTCTTTTAGCAGATCTCCCCCCTGCCCCGTTATTTGGACTGCTTTCCTGGTTGTTTGCAGTGGGAGGACTGGTCTGAGTGGCCCCACCTGCCATTACCGAAGCAGCTGTCCCAGCTCGTTCTATTCCTGTGTAAGCTTGGCCACCTTGCTGTCTTCCTTGCCTGAGTTTCATTGGCTGTAAAATGGGTAATTAGAGAAGAAACTCATAATAATATAAGCTGACATGTAGTATGTTTTTCCTAAGATCCAGGCATTGGGCTGAGTACTTACATTGTTTCAATGAATCCTCCCAATATCCCTGTGAGCTGGGGACAGTTGTAGCTATTTTGTGTCCAAGAAAACTGAGGTGAAGGACACAGTTGCACAGCTGGGAATTGGGACTGGAACCCTGGTCTGTACTGTCCTCTGAGAAGGATGAAGGGAGGTAGTAAGTATTAGAATACTTCAAAAAGCTCCAAGCAGGCAAGACTTGGGTGACAGAACTTGGGGTGGCAAGACTTGGGTGGAGTGGAAGAGGAAAGAATCTATCCTGTGGGATAGATCCAGGGATGGCTTCTGGTGGGGCTGGGCTGAAGAGGTGCATTCTCACCCTCATTTGTTTTCCCTGCAGGCCACCCTAAGGCACAAACTAACTGTCATGTACAGTCAGATCAACGGGGCGTCGAGAGCGCTGGATGATGTGAGGAACAGGCAGCAGGATGTGCGGGTGAGTGGCAGGGCTCTCCAAGGCCAGCCCTGCCCTGTGGCTTCCCTCGCCTTCCAGGCAGGACAGGCGTGGCTCTCACCATGACAAGGCTGGTGTTGGGTGCACTCATGGTGTCAGAATGAAACATCAACCTTGCAAAGCATGCAGACTGCTGTGTGTCCGAGAGAGATCCTTTGCAAACCCGAACCGAAAATTACCTGTAAGCCCAATTGTGGGGGAAATCATTATAAATTAGGGTTAAAAAGTAGTAATTCAAAAAAATGATTATGATATAGAGTGGGAGAAAAAGAGGAAGCAAAAGTATATACCTCCTAGGGTTGCATTTATTTACAAAAAGGAAGTATATTAGTTTTGTAGGGCTACTGTAACAGATTGCCACCAACTTGGTGGCTTACAACAACAGAAATGTATTCTGGTAGAGCTCTGGAGGCCAGAAGTCCAAAATCAAGATGTTGGCATGGCCACACTCCCGAAGTCTCTAGGGGAGAACGCTTCCTTGCTTCTTACAGCTTCTGGTGGCTCAGGCATTCCTTGGCTTTTGACTGCATCACTCCAGTCTGCCTCTGTCTTCACATATCTGCCTCTTCTTCCCTTAGTGTCTTCCATCTCCAATAAGGACCCTTGTCACTGGATTTAGGGAGCACCTGGGTAATCTAGGATGATCGAATCTCAAGATCTTTAATTGCATCTGCAAAGACCTCTTTCCTCAGTAAGATTACATTCGCAGGTTCTGGTATATGGACATGTCTCGGGGGCCCAGCATTCAACCCATTACAGAGAGCATGGAAAGAAACTGAAAGGGAATATTATAGAAGGATCAGAGTGGAGGTGTTGGAGTGGTAAATTAGGAATGGTTTTGTTCCCCGTTTTTCAGATTTTCAATACGTTTAAATTGCTTTTAAATGGAAAGATCCGATTTTTACCCCTTTTCAGAGCTGCAGCACCCAGTTTTATGGCAGCAGTTATGGTTTAATTAGATGAGATCTAGGTTAGAATACCAGCTCTGTCACATACTAGCTTATGTCGCTTTGGTCATGTGGACAGATCTTCGAGCCTTCGTTTCCCAGTTTGCACAACGGAATCACAACTTTCTGAAGATGATTGTGAGACAAATGAAAGAATGCACGTGAAAGTACCTGTATTTGTTAGAGGGCAGGCTATACTACTGTAACAAAGATACACCAAAATTCAGAGGCTTAAATATGATTGAAGTTTATTTTGCCAACTGACAGTCCAAACCCACACATGAGTAACCCAGACTAAGGGTTCATGTGATCATTCAGGGATTAAGGGTTCTCCCTTCTTATTACCCTACTATTCTACTAGGTATTGTCCCAACCTCTTTGACTGGAGCTGAGTTACCATTACATCTTTGTTCTAGCCTGTGAGAAAAGGGACAAAGAGGAAGTGGAGGACAAGCAATTTTCCTTTACACAAGCGATACAGTGTTGCACATATCATTCCTGGGCGTGGGTCATTGGAAGGAGTTTTGTCACCTCACCTAGCCTAGCTGCAGGGGAGGCTGGGAAATGTAGTCTGAGTAGCCACATGCCCAGATGAAACTCCAGGGATGTTCTCTTACCAAAAGGAAAAAAGGGAAAATGAACACTGGGGGATACTTGTAGTCACATTAGAAGTCGCACAGTAAAAGATTGGCAGAGAAGGCTGGGCACGATGGCTCACGCCTGTAATCTCAGCACTTTGGGAGGCCAAGGCGGGTGGATCATCTGAGGTCAGGAGTTCAAGACCAGCCTGGCCAACATGGTGAAACCCCATCTCTACTAAAAATACAAAAAAATTAGCTGGGCGTGGTGGTGCATACCTATAGTTCCAGCTACTCGGGAGGCTGAGGCAGGAGAATCACTCGAACCCGGGAGGCAGAGGTTGCAGTGAGCCGAGGTCAGGTCATTGCACTCCAGCCTGGGTGACAAGAGTGAAACTTCATCTCAAAAAAAAAAAAAAAAAAGCCAGGCGCGGTGGCTCACGCCTGTAATCCCAGCACTTTGGGAGGCCAAGGTGGGCGGATCACGAGGTCAGGAGATCGAGATCACAGTGAAACCCCGTCTCTACTACAAATACAAAAAATTAGCCGGGCGCTGTGGTGGGCGCCTGTAGTCCCAGCCACTCGGGAGGCTGAGCCAGGAGAATGGTGTGAACCCGGGAGGTGGAGCTTGCAGTGAGCCGAGATCGCGCCACTGCACTCCAGCCTGGGCGACAGAACTAGCTAGACTCTGTCTCAAAAAAAAAAAAAAAAAAAATTGAGGAAGAAATACTTGAATTCCTCTCTTCCAGTCTACTGACTGGGTATTTGCAAAGAAGAGAAGTTTATTTGGCTCAAAGTTCTAGAGGCTGAGAGGTCCAAGAGCGTGCTTCCGGCATCTGGTGAGGATCATCCATGGCGGAAGGATGGAAGGCAGGAGAGCGGGACAGGAAAAAGGAGGTCAAACCCTTTGATAAGGACATGAATCCATTCACGAGGGCAAAGCCCTCACGATCTAATCACCTCAATGGCAATTCAGTCTCAGCATGAGCTTTGCAGGAGACATTCAAACCATAGCAGCTATTGAGGCTACCCAAGATGTGAAACAAAATTGCAGCTGCTAAAGCAGTGCTGTCCGGCAGAAATACAGTAGGAGTGCAGATGTAATTTTAAGTTAATTTGAATAGTACATGAGATTTATTTTATTTTATTTATTTATCTTTTTTAGAGATAGGTCTCACTCTGTCACCCAGGCTGGAGTGCAGTGGAGCAATCATAGCTCACTGCAGCTTTGAACTCCTGGGCTCAAGTAATCCACCTGACTCAACCTCTACCCCACTTAACTCCCCACTATCTAGGAGTACAGTCCATCTAATTTTTTTTTTTAATTTTTGTAGAGAAAGGGTCTCTCTGTGTTGCCCAGGCTGGTCTTGAACTCCTGGCCTCAAGCGATCCTCCTGCCTCGGTCTCCCAAGGTGCTGGAATTATGAGCATGAATCACTACACCTGACTGAGATTAATTTTAATATTACAGTTTATTTAATTTGGTATATCTTAAGTATTATTCTTTCATCATATCATCAATTTAAAAGTTTTAAGGTATTTTACATTCCTTTTTTTGGTATGAAACCCTTGAAAGCCAGTATGTATTTTACACTCATGGCAAGTCTCAGTTTGGACTAGCCACATTTCACGTGTTCAGTAGCCACATGTAGCAAGTGGCTATGTTATTGGAAAGTACAGTTCTAGAGCATGATATTCTCTAGAACTTTTCCAGAGTTGCATCCTGACTTTTTATTTTGTTTTGTTTTTTGTTTCGTTTTATTTTGTTTTATTTTATTTTTATTTTATTGAGAGAGTCTCACTCTGTCTCCCAGGCTGGAGTGCAATGGCACGATCTTGGCTCAGTGCAACCTCTGCTTCCTGGGTTCAAGCGATTCTCCTCCCTTAGCCTCCCAAGTAGCTGGGACTACAGGTGCATGCCACCACAACCAGCTCATTTTTGTATTTTTAGTAGAGACGGGGTTTCACCATGTTGGCCAGAATGGTCTTGATCTCTTGCTGACTTTTATTTTTAAAAATTGCCCATGAACCACCTTTAGCTTAAGAAATAAAATATCATCGACGCAGCCCCTCCCATCTGTTTCTCCCTTATTCTACCCCCTTTTCTCTCTTCCAGAAGTAACCACTCTCCTGAATTTATTTATTCATTCTCACGTGTTTCTTTGTGCATATAACCATTCTGTTTGTTTCTAAGCTTTATTGAAAGAGCATCATATGGTGGATCTTCTTCTGCAAGTTGTTTTTCTCTCATGGAGATTTATCCAGGCATAACTCCAGTTTATTAATTTTCATAACTCTTTAATATTCCATCCTATGAATACCTCCCAGTCTTCGCATCAAATCTTCTGATGGATGTTCAGGTTGATTCCAGGTTTTTGCTACTTCAGACAATGCTGCCTGTGAACATTCTTATGTGTGTCTCAGGGGCAGGTGGCTGCGATTTTTTGTAGCATAGATTCCTAGGACTGGAGTTGCTGAGTCAAAGCGTATGAGCACCTCCAAATTTATTAGATATTGCCAAGTTGCTCTCCAAAGTGGTTTGTTCTCCCACAAAATACAGGTAAGAGTTCCTGGAATCCCACATCTCACCAATGCTTGAGGCTGCAGCCTTAGCATTTTTGCCCCTTTGATGAGTGTCCTCTTGCCTTGGCCCTCTCAGATGACTGCAAACAGAAAGGTGGAGCAGCTACGACAAGAATACACGGAAATGAAGGCTCTCTTGGACGCCTCAGAGACCACCTCGACAAGGAAGATAAAGGAAGAGGAGAAGAGGGTCAACACCAAGTTTGACACCATTTATCAGATTCTCCTCAAGAAGAAGAGTGAGATCCAGACCCTGAAGGAGGAGATTGAACAGGGCCTGACCGAGGGGGATGAGTTCGAGTTTCTGGAGGTGGGTCGCCACGAGACATTGTTGAATGGTTTTTGTTTTTTTGTTTTTTGTTTGCCTGAGATCATGCTGTTGATAATAAGGCCCTCAAGGAGCTGGGGACTGGAAGAGGTCACTGGAAGCATCCCTGAGACACATGCTGTATTAGTTTTCTGAGCTGGGCAACAACTTACCACAAATGTAGGGGCTTCAAAACATGTTTATTTATTCTCTCAGAGTTTCTCTGGCTCAGGAATCTGGACATGGCTTTATGGGTGGCCTGCATAGGGTCTCACCAGGCTACAGTCTGCAAGGGAAGGCCAGGCTGTTTCCTTTGGAGCTCAGGGTTGTCTTCCAAGCTCATGTGGTTGTTGGCAGAATTTAGTTCCTTATGGTTGTAGGACTGAGGCCCCCGCCCTCCAATTTCCTGCTGGTTGTCTCTCAGATTGATAGCTGACTTCTTCAAGGCCAGCATGAGAATTTCTCCTCTAGAAAGGTGCAATCCCTCTTTTAAGGGCTTTTACCTGATTAAGTCAGGTCCACCCCAGATGATTGCCCTTTTGACGAACTCAAAATCAATTGATTTGAGATGCTAATTACACCTGCAATATTCCACCCCCTTTGCCATATCACATAACCTAATCACAGGAGTGATATCCTATTTCATTCACCGTCCTGCCCATACTCAATGGGAGGGCATTGTATAGGGTATGTACATCAGTTGGGGTCAGGGGCTTGACCTCATCTTAGAATGTTGCCTACCACACACACTCCACCTCTTCCTCCTATCCTTCCTCCAGCAGCCCCTGGAAGTGTGTGTTAGTAGTCCCTTTTGCATTGCTATAAAGGAGTACCTAAGACTGAGTTATTTATTTATTTTGAGATGGAGTTTTGCTCTTGTCGCTCAGGCTGGAGTGCAGTGGCGTGATCTCGGCTCACCGAAACCTGTGCCCCCAGGTTCAAGTGATTCTCCTGCCTCAGCCTCCCGAGTAGCTGGAACTATAGGTATGCACCACCACGCCCAGCTAATTTTGTATTTTTAATAGAGATGGGGTTTCACCATGTTGGCCAGGCTGGTCTCGAACTCCTGACCTCAGGTGATCCACCCGCCTTGGCTTCCCAAAGTGCTGAGATTACAGGTGTGAGCCACTGCGCCCAACCAGACTGAGTAATTTATAAAGAAAGGAGGTTTATTTGGCTCACAGTTCTACAGGTTGTACAAGCATGGCATCAGCATCTGTCTGGCTTTTAGTGAGGCCTTTGGTGAGGAAGGAAGCGTTTACTCATGGCAGAAGGTGAAGCTGGGAGCAGCCATGTCACAGGGTTAGAGAGGGAGCAAGAGACAGAGGAGGAGGTGCCAGCTTCCATTAAACAACTAGTTTGTGCAAGAACTCACCTGTTACCATGGGGAGGGCACCAAGCCATGCATGGGGGATCCACCCCCGTGACCCGCACACCTCCCACCCTGCCCCATCTCCAACATTGAGAATCACATTCCAACGTGAGATTTGGAGGGGACACACATCCAGACTGTATCAAAGTATCTTTCTAAAGCATGGGCCCCCTGCTATTTCTGGCCTCATGTCCCTTAGCACGGCCTGCAGGGTCCTGGGTGACTGGGCCCTGCCTGTGCCAGCAGCCTCATCTCTTATCACCCACCCCTGGGTCATGCCCTGTGCACTCACTGTTCCCCAGACACAGTGGGTGTGGGCGGGATGCCACGCCGGGCATTCTTGCCTAGTGAGTCGTATCCTTCCGGGGCCTTGGATCCCATTGTCCTGCCATATCGGTGTTCCCAAGCATGCCCCACTGCTTCTACAGTAGCATTGGGTGATGTTGTTTCAGATGTGCATTTTTTTCCTGGCTGTTTTGACTGTAAGCCCATCTCTTATTACCCCCATTCATCCTCCTGCAAATCTGACCAGCACATAGCAGAGTGCTTGGCATATAGTGGTGTGCCCCATTGGTTGAGTGACCTGCAGCTCTACCTGAAAGGCCTAGATTCCTTGTTCAGATCGGAGTGGGGAGACAGTGCAGAAGTGAATGGGAACCTTCTCTCTGTGCACTGAGGCCTGATGCGTGCCTAGTCTGGATGGCGTTAAGTTTCATCCCAAGTGCTCATTCCTGTCTGTTGGAGTAGCTGCCCCGAGTGCTCGAAGGATCTGAGTGCACATCTAGGCCTCTTGATACTGTACAACCCTATTTTTCTCAAAGTTTGGGACTTCCAGGAAGACCCTCCTTTCCCATAAGATATTCCCTGGCTGGAATCCACATCCCTTGAGATGTTCCTGTCTCTTACCAGAATGTGTGATTAGAGCTGTTCCCCTAGGATTGGAGTGGTCCTGAGTTTCCTGTGCTTTTCCACCCTCAGCTAGAAAAGTGGAAAGAACATCGTCCTGGGGGATCAGAAGAACTCAGTCCCAGCTGTGTCTGTGCCCCTAGCTGGTGGAGTTCCTGGCAGGCTACCGGCCATGTCTAGACCTCAGTTTCCCCATCTGTAAGATCAGTGACCTCTAGGGACCCTTCCAGCTCCAGATTACTGTGTCTTCAAGTGTTATTTAAACTCCTGGTGACCTCTGGCCTGTAATTTGAGAAGGCTGATTGAACTTAGCACTCATGGGCCTAGGGGAGAGCTTCCTGCCGTTGGTGAAGACTGAGCCCAGGTCCCAGTTTCACCAGAGCTGCCTGCACTAACCCCCTGGCATGTTTCAGAAAGCATCAAAACTGCGAGGAATCTCAACAAAGCCAGTCTACATCCCCGAGGTGGAACTGAACCGCAAGCTGATAAAAGGCATCTACCATAGCACCTTAGACCTCAAAAACGAGCTGAAGCAGTGCATCAGGCAGCTCCAGGAGCCCACCCCCAGCTCAGGTGACCTTAGCAGCCCCCTGTGGAACCCTGTAACCCGATGGGTCCCCTCAATGTTTTGGGATGGGAGACTGGGGCATGATCCCGAGCACTGGGTCCTGAGTTTCAGGGCTCCTGAAACATCCTCCCTCCATCTGGAGGCTGGTGGGGAGTCTGCTTCATCCTGACATTTTAGGATCTTTCCTAAAGCATTTTTGGGGACTTGATGTTCATGCTTGGACTTTCTGAACAGATAGGCTCTTTTGACCTGTGATCTTGAGGCCAACTTGGATGGGTTTTGAATGGGCTAGGGCTTGTTACTGTGTTTGGTGGGGGAATGGCTCGTTTGGGGGAGAAATCTAGAATTCCTCTGACACCCCCTTTTCATCACTCCATATCCAATCCATTGCCAAATTTCACTTCTTTCAATCTCCTGACTCAGTCTGCTGATCCTAGCGCTGCTTGCCTGTTCTCCATTGCCATCACCTGTCGCCCTATGACTGTGGCAGCTTCCTAAACCCTCTGCATCTGCTGTGGCAGCCAGAGAGGTATTTTCATGATGCAGAGCTCATGTCCTGGGACCTATTCTGCTTTGCCCTCTCACTAGGCTTCCCATTACTCCCTGATGCAGACCAAACCCTTGACCCTGGTCTAGAAGCCAGCTCAGGCCCTGTTGGTCTCTCTCCAGCCCCAAGGTGCCCCCCGCCCTCCTCTGGTGCATCTCTCTGCATTCAGTTCCTCAAATATGCAAAACTTCCTGCCACAGTGCCTTTGTGTTTGCTCTTCCCCACTCTCCAGAAGGCTTGAACTCCACCGTCTTCACTCATTAACTCCTCTCACCCTTCAAAGATCTCCAAAACATTACATTTATAGCCAGCCTCCCCTGCCACGGCTCCCACTCCTCAGACTGGGCCCGGGGTCCTCATCATCCTCCTGGGGCTCTTGCATGGGCAGTATCGCACTCTTCCTTGGGATCCCCATATATCTCCCTCATTAGGTTGTGATCTCTATGAGGTCAGGGGCTGTGGCTTATTTATTTATTTATTTATTTAGAGACAGGATCTTGCTCTGTCGCCCAGGCTGGAATGCAATGGCATGATTATAGTTTACTGTAACCTCAAACTCCTGGGCTTAAGGGATCCTCCTGCCTCAGCCTCCCGACTAGCTAGGACTATAGATACACAATATCTTGCCTGGCTAATTAAAAAAAAAATTTTTTTTTTTTTTTTGAGACAGAGTCTCACTCTATCACCCAGGCTGGAGTGCAATGGCCCAATCTTGGCTCACTGCAACCTCTGCCACCTAGGTTCAAGCATTTCTCCTGCCTCAGCCTCCTGAGTAGCTGGGATTACAGGCGTGTGCCACCACACCCAACTAATTTTTATATTTTTAATAGAGACATGGTTTCACTATTTTGGTCAGGCTGGTCTCGAACTCTCGACCTCAACTAATCTGCCTGCCTCAGCCTCCCAAAATGCTGGGATTACAGGCGTGAGCCACTGGGCCCAGCCTAAAAAAATTATTTTTTGTAGAGCCAGGGTCACGCTCAGTTGTCCAGACTGATCTTGAGCTCCTGGCTTCAAGTGATCCTCCTGCCTTGGCCTCCCAAAGCACTGGGATTACAGGCTTGAGCCACTGTGCCTGGCCTGTCTGATTTTTCTTCAACGCTATTTCCCTAGTGCCTAGCACAGAGCCTGGCCCATAGTAAATCTCTGTTGTGTAGCCCAGGATTGGGCTTGAATCTCAGCTTGGCCTGCCGAGTGTCCTTGCAGAAGGGCTTCTGAAATCGGCGGCGGTGCAGCCCCACTGTGGAAGTGCTGCGTGGGGGCAAAGCTATAGGTGGCTGGTATGTGGGAGGAGGGGAGAGAAAGAACGGTGGGAAAGGAACAAGTGTTGACCCAGCCTCCGCTGCACGACCTTGATCTCATTCAGGAGTCACATCAACCATGAGCAAGGTGAAGTCATCCCCATTGTGTACTCGAAGAAACCAAAGCCCAGAGAAGTCCAGAGGCCACCGAGCTGGGTGCTGGTGGAAAAAAGACTTGACCCTCGCTACATTTTAAGTCAGAGAAAAGAGGGAACACGCCAAACTGGTTCTTAGATCACCTTGTTTGTAGCTCTTGTAAAGGATGGGATGGGGAAGGTTGGAGGAAGGGGCTGTCTGTGTAAACCCTCTGCCTGCCCAGCGAACCATGGCAAAGCTGGCTTCTAAGGTCAGTGAGAGGAGCCACACACACTGGGCCCTTCTTCTGTGACACAGGTGACCCTGGAGAGCATGACCCAGCGTCCACACAGAAATCCACACGCCCTGCGAAGAAGGTCTCCAGTAAGTAGCCCCACCCCTGTCTCCATGGCAACAGCATGGGCTGTGGCCTCCCCAGGCTCTGGCCAAGTCACTTCCAGCCCATCCCGAGTCACTGTGGAGCCTGGACCTCAGTGGGAAAGAAGTTGGCGGCAGTCCCCACTGCAGGCGGTTGCAGGGCTGTGGCAGAAGCTCCCCTGTCCATCAGCATTGCATTTTTGGGCTGCCTGGAACGGCAAGATGCCTGAAGCTGGCTTGTTTTGAGAAATATTTACTATACCCAAGTCCCTGGACAGAGCCTTGGGTGAGGAGACTGATGGTGGTCCGGGAAGGGCAGAGGCTAAACCTCCTTGGCATCTCAGCAGCGTTCAGTCTCTGGGTTGTAATGGGCTTCTGCTATTACCATGTTTCTCAACCTATTTTTTTTGTTTGTTTGTTTCTCACTATTGCCCTCCTCCTGCTTCATCCCCTGAACCATTTGAGAAAATGTTTTTCCTAATTACAACCCATGAAATTTTAATACCTCCCATCTACTGCATAACTGTTTATGTTCTGTGCTTTTACACATAAAAAGAGTAATCTTCTTTTACTCCCCCTCCCCTAAGGATCCATTTTTGCCCTCCTAGGGGTACTGTCCCCCTCACTGGGCAGGCACCTGCCATTGACATGGGGGTTGGGGAGAAGAGTGATCCTGTTCTGCAAATGTGGACAACAGTGATATCGAGACCACAGGATGATTGTGAGTGATGAGGGGACACTGACTGTGAGAGCTCTTTATGAGCCATATACCACTGACATGCCCATATACCACTGAGATGCCCATATACCGCTGACATGTCCATATACCGCTGACATGTCCATATACCGCTGACATGTCCATATACCGCTGAGATGTCCATATACCGCTGACATGTCCATATACCGCTGACATGTCCATATACCGCTGAGATGTCCATATACCGCTGACATGTCCATATACCGCTGACATGTCCATATACCGCTGAGATGTCCATATACCGCTGACATGTCCATATACCGCTGACATGTCCATATACCGCTGACATGTCCATATACCGCTGACATGTCCATATACCGCTGACATGTCCATATACCGCTGAAATGTCCATATATCGCTGACATGCCCATATACTGCTGACATGCCCATATAGTGCTGACATGTTCATATACCACTGACATGTCCACATACCACTGAAATGTTAGCTGTCATTGCTTCCCTGAAAAGTCGGTGTGAACCCAGGAGGGCTGGCTGCACACTGCTGGTGTTGCGGGGGATGAGAGAGCCAGGGCTTGCTCTTTTTTGTTGTTGTTGCTTGTGCATAGTGTTTAGGTCTCCTGTAGCAGGCAGAGTGTGGTATCGGTCCCTGAATGGAACAGAGTCAGGGCTGGGATGCCTGGTGCAGATGGAGGAGAGAGCCCTTAGCTGGGCCGGAAAACTTCAAAGGGTGCTTTGTGTGAAAAGGGAAGTGAAAGAGCAAGTGGAAAAGTACTGTTGGCCTGTGTTCTTCCTCAGTCACCTTCCTCTGAAAGCTCGTCCCTCGGTATGAATGAGTTGGGGATGTTGGCCAGCAGGCAGGTGTGTTCCCCGGTGAGGTGAGGTCCTCCTGTCACAGCAGAATGACACCCTGGAGAATAAAGTTCGGGAATGAATCAAGGCTCCTGTAGGCTGAAATGGGGAAATAGGGGAGGAGGGATGGACTAGTCCCAGTGCAGAAAGATGTCTAAGGGTAGGTGATGAGGGAGGTGCCTGTGCCCTAGACTGATGTCACAGCCTGGGCCTCCCAGGATGCTGGTCCACAGGGAGTAGGTGGGAAAGTGGCAGAAGGTGAGGAAATGGGGCAGAGAGTGAGCGACGGCGAGTGATGTGACTTTGAAGTAGGAGAAGCGGTAGCGGGGTGTCGTGGTGTGACAGAGTTCTGGTGGGGAGGTAGAGGGTAATAGGAGAGAGCGGGGCTTATCTGTGATGTCAGGTGTCCTGCAGGTGGGCAGAGAGATGATTTCAAAAACACCCTTTTTTGTTCCAGTGTTGTGGAAGGTGGCAAAGAAGGAACCTGGAATCTTCTAGCCCACTTGAGTGGACTTTGGACTCACCTGGAGGGCTTGTACGCCAGATTGCTGGTCTCACCCCCCAACCTTTATGATTCAGTGGCTCTGGCTTGGTGCCCAAGAATTTGCATTTACTATTTTTTAAGAGACAGAGTCTCGCTCTTTTGCCTAGGCTGAAGTGCAATGGTGCGAACAGAACTCATTGCAGCCTCAAATTCCTGGGCTCAAGTGATCCTCCTGCCTTAGCCTCTTGAGTAGTTAGGACTATAGGCATGTGCCACCAAACCAGGCTAATTAAAACAATTTTTTTTTTTTTTTGTAGAGATGGCATATTGATATGTTGTCCAGGTTGATCTTGAACTCCTGGCCTCAAGCAGTCCTCCCGCCTCAGCCTCCCAAATTGCTAGGATTGTGGGAGTAAGCTACAGTGCCTGACCAATAATTTGCCTTTTTTAGGGGTTCTCCGGTGATGCCACTGCAGCTGACTTGGGCACCAGACTTTGAGAATGACTATTTTAGCCAAACTCAGTTCCTGTTAGTAGACACTCTAGATATTTTTAAAAGATTTGGCAATCTTTTTTTCTTTTTCTTTTTCTTTTTTTTTTTTTGAGACAGGGTCTCATTTTTTTGCCCAGGCTGGAGTACACTGGCAAGAACACAGCTCACTGCAGCCTCATCCTCCTGGGCTCAAGCAGTTCTCCTGCCTCAGCTCCCAAGTAGCTGGGACTGCAGGTGCGTGCCACTAGGCCCGGCTAGTTTTTTTTTTTTTTTTTGTAGAAATGGGGTTTCCCCATGTTGCCCATGCTAGTTTCTAATGCTTGAGCTCAAGTGATCCCTGCACCTCGGCCTCCCAAGGTGCTGGGATTCCAGGCGTGAGCCACCGTGCACCCAGCCCTTGGCAAGCTTTTTTTTTTTTTTTTTTTTTTTTGCTGATTACCTATTTGGTTTTTATTTGTGTTTTTTCCTTTATGGAAATATGATTTACCTGCAGTAAATCTCTTTTTTCCCTGCAGTAAATCTTAAATGTGCAGTTAGATCTATTTTGACAAATGCATACCATGTGTTACCATTATCCAAATCAAGATAAAGGATTTCCCTTGCTCCAGAAAATTCCTTCATGCTCCTTATTAGTCGGTCCCTGCCCCCACGACCACTCATGCTGGTTTCTATCACTATAGATTCATTTTGCCTGCTGACTCCTTCTATTTTTCAAGTTAAAACATCCTTTTATTTGTCTGGATCAAATTAATGCACATGAATGTTACTATTTTGAAAATGTCATTGTGTTGCACCTTAAAAGATTTTAATTCTGAAAACTTTCTTTTGCAGAAGAGGAAAAGAAATCCAAGAAACCTCGTAAGTTATACATTTCTGCAACTGTTTATTTCTTGAGACTGCCCAAGCACAGAACTAAATGCTGGTAGAGAGAGTCGACCTCGCTCATCAGGGTTCCGTGGTGGGTTCTATATGAGTCCATTCTGTAATGGCAGCAGGTCTGAGGCTGGAGGGGAGGACAGCATAAATGAGATGAATAAGGTGACTTTAGCCTGGTCTGGTGTCCCCTGTGTTGCCCTGCTGTTCAGGCGTGTGTTTGTAGAAGCGGGTCTTAATCAGTGTGGAAGGGAGTAGAGGCCATCCCGTTGCTCTGTATTATGTTTCTCTTTCCTTACCCCCAGCCTCTGTCCCTGCCTCATCCAGCAAGCTTCCCACATTTGGAGCCCCGGAACAGTTAGTGGATTTAAAACAACCTGGCTCGGAGGGTGAGTTATCACAGGCAAGGAGCTTTGGGGTGTCCACTCGGAGTTTGTTCTGCAAATCGCTCTCTGTTTCCTCTCCCAGCTGCAGCCAAAGCCACCAGCTCGCATCCGAACTCAGCATCTCTCAAGGCCAAGGTGCTGGAGACCTTCCTGGCCAAGTCCAGACCCGAGCTCCTGGAGTGTGAGTAGCTTCGGGGCTGGTGCGCGGTTCCACTGGTTCTGTCTCTTCTGTGCCGCTCTGTGCAGCTCTCTGAGGCCGCTGGCTGGCTGTATCAGCCGCTCCCCTTCACTTGTCCTCTACTTTGTTGCTCCCTTATTTTCTCCCAGTCATCAGTGCCTTTCTTTACTTTTCCTAACCAGCTCAGGTTTCACAATCGGTCCTTTGACTCTCCCTCTTGCTGTCTAGTCTGGCCCAATTGAGCTCACCTTTCTCTGTGGGTCAGCGCCTGCATGTCCCCAGCAGAGAAGGCAGGGCGATTGTGGTCACCAGCCTTCACCGGGCGTCCCAATGCCGGCACACCTGCCCTGCATCTCCTGTCTCCTCCCCACTACTCTCCAGAGCCACCATTCCCAAGACTTCCCACTGGCCATAGCTCCAGCCTTCTCCCTGTCCCGCCCACCTTCTGCTTCACGGAAAAGACAGACACTGTAAAAGGGGCTCCCCCTGCTCTGTTACTGTCATCGCATCTGCTTTTACCGTGCCCCCTTTCTCACCTCCTGGCCCCTTTCCCAAGGCTAGTCCCTGGCCCTGGGCTCTGGAGTCTGCTCCCCATGCGCTCTCTGGAATCTTCTGCTCTTTCTTAGGCCTTCCCATTCCCATCTCTTCACCCTCAGCATCTCTACCTAGGCTTGCCTATCTGTAGCATGTTTACATCTCTCCAAATCACAAAAACCCAGCAAAACTGTCTCAGCTGCAGCTCTGTTTTCTGCCTCCCTTTCACCAGAATGCTTGTTAAAAATACAAATTACTAGCTGGGTGCGGTGGCTCATGCCTGTAATCCTAGCACTATGGGAGCCCGAGGCGAGTGGATCACCTGAGGTCAGGAGTTCAAAACCAGTCTGGCCAACATGGCAAAAACCCATCTCTACTAAAAATACAAAAAATTAGCCAGGCGTGGTGGCACATGCCTATAATCCCAGCTACTTGGGAGGCTGAGGCACGAGAATCACTTGAACCTGGGAGGTAGAAGTTGCAGTGAGCTGAGATTGTGCCACTGCACTCCAGTCTGGGCAACAGAGTGAGACTCTGTCTTAAAAAACAAACAAACACAAACAGAAAACCCCAAAAAACAAATTCCTGGGCCCTGTTCCAGTCCTACAAGATGAGACTCAGGCAAGCACAGAAAGCTGTATGATTAGCTCATTTCCTCCATGATCCTTTTGAGGACAGCTGGGGAAAAGCAGCTCTGCAGATTATCTACATTGGTGGCTCTCAGCTGTAGCCACGTGTTGGAAGCCTGGGGAGCTTTTAAAATCCCTGATGCCAGGCTGTCCCCCAGACTGGTTCATTCAGAATCTCGGTGTTTGGCTGCCCAGGGTTGCAGTGTGGGGCCGAGGTGGGATCCTGAAGTCTAATCCTCGTGCCACTGCAGTCTGACCTGTGTCCTGCCCTTGACCCAGGCAGCTCTGAGGTCATCAGTGTCCTCTGTGTCACAAAATCCAAGGGATGCCTTTCAGCTTTTATTTAGCTTCACCTGTCAGTGGCATTCCTCCTCCTTCTGACACTCTCTCCTCTTGCCCCTTGAGCCACTATACCCCCGGGGTTTCCACCCACCCCTCCTTTGCAAACTCGTCCAACCTGGAAGTGGGTGGAGTTCCGTTGTCAAGGCCAGGCCTAGGGCCCTCCCACTTTCCGTCTTCTTGTTTCCTCTGCACCCATGTGCAACTCTCCAGGCAGCACCTGCCAGTGGTACCCACTTCCATGTGGTGGCCAAAACCAATCACTGAAAAATATAGCCCTTCCTTTATCATAAGCAGCTGCAGCAGGCTTGGTGGGGATCTGTGGGTCCCTTGCTTTCTCAGGCTGGCCTTCTTGTAGCCCTCCGCTGTCCCTGCCCCCCATGAGAGGCCCAGACCAGCCCTGGGCACAGCTAACTCTTGCCCAAGCTGCTAGCAGCGGTGCTGAACCACATGTTTCAGGAGCTGCTGTGCACTCTGTGGCAGAGCCGCATAAGCCAGGAAAGTAAAGTTCTATCAACTTAGAGCCTTTTCCACCCCCAGCTTATTCATTTTGCCTGGGGGGAAACTCGGGCTTCAGTGAAAAGTGTCATGTCCCGAGCCACCTAGCAAGTGAGTAGGGACAAAAGAGACTAGGGTGAAAGCCCAAGTCTCTTGGTTCCCAAGTTCCCAAGCTAGGGTTTGTCCCTGTCTGCCTTGCTGCCCCATAAGCTATCTCCCATGGGTCCAGGATCACTTGTGAGGGCGGAGGCAGAGGAGATTGAGTATGGGGACGACACTAAGGGGAGCTTAATCCTCAGATGTCCTGGAACTGCTTGTAAATGGCAGAAAGGGCAGGGAGGGCATGCTCGTGTCACACCAAGAATATAGTCAGGCCATGTCTCTGCTTACAGACCTCGCTTGGCTCCCTGCTGCCCACCAGTTAAAGTCTAGACTCCTGAGCCCTTCCCTCTCTAGCCCCATCATGTTTCCCTTCTCCTGATGCATCTGTGTTCCCAACCACCCAGCTTCCCCAATCCTGGCACATGCCAACCCTCTTGGCACTCTGTGGCTTCACCGTCTCTGTTCCTTCTGTCTGGAACAGCTTTTCTCTCTCTGTTCTTCTCTGTCTAGTTCTCATCATCTGTTACTTGGCTCCAATTCCAGCCTGCCAGTGAAGTGTTCCCCAACTGTAGCGTCAGTTGCCTTGTCTCTGTGTCCCTACAGTGTGTGCCTACCCTTTTGGCAAAGTGTGAGTCTCCTGGTGGTGTTACTGATGGACTTGCCTTGCTTGTTGGAGTGTGAACTCCGTGAGGCCAGGCACCTTGTCTCTCTGGTTCACGGTCGTGTATCTTGTGCCAGAATCTGGTGTCAGTCAGGTGCCTGGTAAATGGTTTTGGATGGATGAATGGACAGACATATGGATGACTGATAGATGATAGATGGCTGGCTGGCTGGACAGAATAGATGGATGAATGGATGTATAGATGCGCTGATGAATAATGGTAGGTAGATGGATGGATAGATAAATGGACAGATGGATAGATGGGTGGATAGATTAATGAATGAATGGATAAATGGAAAGGCAGAAGGATGGATAGATAAGTGGATAGATGGATGAATGGAAGAATGGATAGATAGGTAGATAGATGGGTATATGGATAGATGGATGGATGGATACATGGATGGATTGATAGATAATGGATAGATGGATGAATAGACAGACAGATAAGTGGATGGATGGACCAATGGGTAGATGGGTGCATGGATGGATAAAACTAGTGAATAAATAGTACCACTTTGGGAAAGGTCTAAAAGTGAGAGCACTTTGGGCCCCTTGTAATTAATTCCTTGGGATGATGTTTTCTCAGATTACGTTAAAGTCATCCTGGACTACAACACCGCCCACAACAAAGTGGCTCTGTCAGAATCCTATACAGTAGCTTCTGTGGCTGAGATGCCTCAGAACTACCGGCCGCATCCCCAGAGGTTCACATACTGCTCTCAGGTGCTGGGTCTGCACTGCTACAAGAAGGGGATCCACTACTGGGAGGTGGAGCTGCAGAAGAACAACTTCTGTGGGGTAGGCATCTGCTATGGCAGCATGAACCGGCAGGGCCCAGAGAGCAGGCTCGGCCGCAACAGCGCCTCCTGGTGCGTGGAGTGGTTCAACACCAAGATCTCTGCCTGGCACAATAACGTGGAGAAAACCCTGCCCTCCACCAAGGCCACGCGGGTGGGCGTGCTTCTCAACTGTGACCACGGCTTTGTCATCTTCTTCGCTGTTGCCGACAGGGTCCACCTGATGTATAAGTTCAAGGTGGACTTTACCGAGGCTTTGTACCCGGCTTTCTGGGTGTTTTCTGCTGGTGCCACACTCTCCATCTGCTCCCCCAAGTAGGCAGGCTGTAGACACTTGGGCTGACTGCCTGCAGAGGTCCCAAGACCCTAGTGAAAATGCAGCAGGCAGAACTCTCCTTAGACAATTCCCCAAGAGGTACCAAGGATTGGGAGCATGGGAGGGGAGCTGGTGGGAGGGTGGGATATGGGATTTAGCCAGGAAAGGGGTGAGGGTGATTGTGTTGTAGGTGAGGAGGCATTTCCACCCCTCGGTGCCTATCAGGGCAGAGTGACCTGCTCCCCATTGTTCTGGAAATCTCCAGGCTGCTGGGCAGCTGGGCAGAGCTCTGGGGAGTGAAGTCATGAGTGCCCGATTCCTCTTAGAGAAAATCCATAGCTACTGTAGGTTCTGTCTTGGGTCACTTGGATCTGAAGGCTGCCCCTTTGCTCTCTGGGGTAGCCTTCAGATCTTGGTGTTTTGATTACTCACTATAGATGTTTTTAAAATTCCAAAGTCATTGAGTTTCAATATTATATAACCTCCATTACCCGCATGTTGGGGCTCAATCTCCTGGTTATTATCTGTGCTTGAGGAAACATCCACAGCAGTCTCTCCCCAGAACAGAGTTTCCTAAAGAAGCATGCCCTCTTCCTCCACTGGAACATAGTGCATTCCCTTCCTACCCTGCTCACCCATCGCCCCCCCATTGATGGTTTTCAAACAGGAAACTTTTCAGCTAAGGCTTCAGACCGTGATTGGAATGAGCCTGTGTTGGATTTGTGATTCAAGATCACGGTGACCCTGATCCAGTTTGGGTGGAAATCCTTCCCAAGTATCATGAGAAGCATCTTGGCAGAGATGCTTTGGTGGCAGCCATGAGCTTTGCTGGAGGCCTTGCTTCCCATATCCTTGGCTGAGGGGCAAGGAACTCTGCCAGGCGAGGGGGACGCTGCCCTGGGTCAACAGAAGCCTGGTGGGTTTGCTCGTGTTAGAGTGTCCTGCCTTCTTACTGACAACTCTCCTTAGCGATAGCCTCTCTCCCCTGGATTGTGAGATATGGAGTGACAGTGCAGGTACCACTGAGGCTAGCACAGTCAAGCAGCCAGCTAAGCTGGATGCCTGAAGCCTGCTATCACGCAGACAGGCTGTGCAGCTGCCTCGGGGACCACACTAGGCCACTGGCTGGGGCGTCAGCCTATCACCAAAAGGGTCTTTTAGCACACCTCATGGGGAACAGGAACATTCCTGTTCATCCCTGGCCACAGGCTGCAGACCCAGCACTGGCCCTCGCGTGAGTCAGAGCCTGGGGCTGGCCCTAGCCCCTTCTACTGCCTTCCTCGTTTGAGCCAATTCTATAAGCTCACATTGATCAGGGAGGGAAAGAGCTAAAGAGGGTCACACAAGTGGCTATTTTCCCTGCAGTGTTTCTGTGCGGTGAAAATAACCCAGTCCACTAAGGGGCGGGAGTGAATGGATTGCTGGATTTTCCCCAAGCTCCTTATAGCCTGATGTCATCAGGATGTGAGTGTGAGGAATTTACCCTCTTAAAATGAAATGAGTCCAACTCTGGGCTTTGCTTAGAGGAGAGCTTCTGTCAGGCTTTTTATAATATGAAAAGAGGTCACCATTGGGGAAGTAGAGACCCCAGACCTTTTCATATGGATATCTGAGAATGTAATGTATCTCAGGCCTTGTGCTGGAACTCTAGGGCACTCTAGGCAGGCTCAGAACCCTTGATATTCCTTACAGGTACACACCTGACATGCAGGTACTTACCTGATCGGTGTCATCTCCTAACAAGGATTTTCAGTTCCTCGAGAGCAATAATCTTTGTAGGAAAGACATCCCTGCAATAGATGATATGTGGTCCTTAGAAGTTTTCTTCCTTTACTACTTGGGAGAAAAGTTCTTTGGTGATTCTTCTCTGCTTTTGAAGATGATCAAAAGCATCTTCATTGATTTTCTGAAACGAAAGCCTTGTCTGAAACCAATTAATACTTGGGAAACAGCTGGGCTTGGAGGAGTAGAATGCCAGAGATAAATCCATGGCTCCTGCTCTGGCTTTCTTCTGCAGAAATAAGGGCAACAGTAAGGCCCCTTCCCTGGCAAATGTGCAGCTTGGGACAGGGAAGCATGAGACCCTCTGTTTAAAACAGAGTCAAGTAGGTAACCAAAGCCAAGCTCTGTGCAAGGTGCTTTGGAGTTGTAAATTGAGGAATGCATCCTTGCTGTCTTGAACCATTCTGTTTGCAATGGTAAGACCTTATGTAACCTAGCCTTGCAGGGCCGCCACACACCCCTGGAGTCCTAGAGTTGGAGGAAACTTTGTATCCATCTGACTTCTTATTTTGCAGAATATGATGAGAAAGTAGAGGATCACTCTGTTCACCACTCTTGCTGTTCCATTAGGGAGGAGATGCCTGCTAGCATGTGTGAGGGAAACACTCTGGTACACCAGAAAGTATCAGAAATTCCCAGAAACACACACATAAAATACTATCCTAGACCCAGGTACTGGGGACTGTCTCAGTCAGTGTGGCATGATAAATAAAAGGTTAGAATCAAGTCTTTGTATTTTTCAAGATGTGGTAGCTGATTATTCCTGTTTTAAGTACTCTGAAATCGATCTGCGCTCAATAATACTAATATGTTATCTTTTACCATATTCTGCCTCTTACTATTGATTTTAATTAGTTAGGAGTATTTGAACTGTTATTTCTTGAGCTTAATATTTTTTTAGAGTTAATTCTTTAAGGAGATAATCACGGCTGTAGACAAGGCCAGGGCTGGCTGATGTGCCTTAGAAGCTTTGAATGCAATAAAGCGGTGTTTGGCATTCTCTCCTGCATTGTAGTGCGGGTAGAAAATGCTATTTGTTCGTCATACTGTTGTCAACAGATGAGCCGCCCACTACAGACGGCTACTACGCAGGGACCTGCCCAGGCCCCACCCAGGGGCTCCCAAATGTCGAGATTTCTGCAGACCTATAGCCAGCACACTTAGTCCTGCCCCAATAGAGCTCCTCTTTGGGAAGCTTTTGATAAGGAATTCTCAGACCGATAGGATGTCTGTCTGGGCTTTGCTGCGGGACAATCTTAACTGCGGGGGCTAGGGGAAAGCGGGGGAGTATTGATCAAAGAGTAAGCCACACACGGATAATCAGTTGCTAGGGATGGAGGTTTGAGGGTTCATTATATTATTCATTTTACTGTTGTATATGTTTGAAAATGTCTATAATAAAAAGCTTAAAAAAAAAAAAAAGAAACAAAAATAGTTCGGGGCAGCAATGGGTCCTCCCTGTTCAGTGGATTTTATCCTTGTTTCAGTTGGGGTAGGAGTTCCAGGAGGTGCAGATTGGAGGTTGTCTAAAGAATTGGACTGGCCTTTGTCCCTGCTTCCTGGGAGGGAGACTTTCAGTCCTTGACATTTCCAGGGTAATAGGAGTGTCTTTGTTATTTATGAGGCCATGGGATCACACCTGAGCTTATGCTAAAAGGTGGGATGACTCAGAGCTGGGGCTGGTCACCAGAAAGACTGACCATGTGATTAGAGGGTTGAAACTTTGAGTCAGCCTGCCCTATGCGGTGGGGGACTGGAGGCTGAGTTTAATCATCTGGCCAGTGCTTTAATCGATACATCATGAAACCCCAATAAAAACTCTGGACACTAAAGCTCAGCACAGCTTCCTGGTTGGTGAAGCCGTGGCTGTGCTGGCAGGGCAGTGTGCCCTAATTCCACGAAGAGGGGGCATGGGAGCGCTGTACTCGAGACCCTTCCAGACCTTTCCCTGTGTCTTATTTGGCTTGTGGAGCTGATTTGTATCCTTTATAATAAAACTAATCATAAGTATAGTCGTGAGTTCTGTGATTTTTAGTGAATCATTGAACCTGAGGAAGGTCATGGTACCCTCCTGGGATTGTAGCCAGTTGGTCACAAGTGCTGGTGGCCTGGGATCCCCACATGGGGCTGGTGTCTGAAGTGAGGGCAGCCTGTTGGGGACTATGTCCCTTCACCCATGGCATGTGATCTAACTCTGCTGGTCGTTGTTAGAATTGTGGTGCGGTACACCAGGTGGTGTCAGAACAGAGGCGGTGGGATCTGCACACCTTGAGTAAGCCCTTCTCGACCAGCTTGTTGGAATAAAACACACTGCTCTTCACGGGAGCCTCCCAAGTTTCTTCTCACCTGTGTGAAGTCTCCTTGGTTTACTGTCCTGGGTTTTTTTCTCTCTCATCCCCAACCTCTCCTGTAGTTTTTTCTTCCTCACTGTCACTGTAACCATAAAAATACTCAGTATGTCAGTGACAGACTTGTCCTTCTATTCAGAGATGACTCTTCAACCGTCCGGGAACACTTTTTTCCAATAAAAAGTTCAGGATGGTAATTTGTGACTCCTTACTAAAGGCAAGCTGGGAGTGCGTGTGTGCGTGTGTGTGTGTGTGTGTGTGCATGCATGTATGGTTTTTAAGTCATTTGTGGTCTGCTGGAGTGACCCATGGGCTAAGTTTGGACTTGTTCATAGGTTTTACATCTGTTTTCTCATCAGTTCCCAGGCGGTCTTGAAATGCCATAGTATCATGAATAACCAATGGATCTCCAACCATTATTGACCTTGGAGTCGCAGTCTACTTGTATTTTATTGTAGATCAATTCCAATACATAAAATACAGGAAGACTCTAAAAAAGCAAATCAAAGAGTGAAGGGGAAATGATACATTTAAAAAGCCTATTTTAAAGGGGGCAATTTGGAATAAATGCACACACAAAATAGGGTCCTTTTGCTGATGCCTCTGCTGCCTTATCGAGCTGTATGTCCTTTAGTCCAGGCACATCTCCTTTCTGAGTCTTGACTTTGCCTGCATTAAAGGTTCTATGAGGATCAGATGAAATTTTTGAGGTAAAAATAGGTTGACATTTAAAATATGGTACATGTGATTATTCTACCTTCTCTACATACCCATAAACACACCTGCATTTTGAGGGAAGTCCAGTTTGGGGCTGCCTTGGGAACTAGGACGCAGTTATAGCCAAAGGGCCTTTTTTCTCAACCAAGGCATGTTGGCATTGCCACCACTCCCTTCTTGGGGTCACATTCCCCACAGAGTTCCTGCACCCAAAGGCTTTTAATATTAGGTGAGCCCCACCTACTCCCTTCCCTTGTGTATTTGAACTTTGTTCTTCTCCTTTCTGCCTCACTATATCCCCTTTCTCCCTGTCAGCTTCCTGAGCTTGTTCTGTGAACCACAGATAAGCCATTTGCATGCCCAGGCTGTGCTGAGCCCTGTTTGCTGTCCTTGGCACCCCATCCCTGATCTGGGATGGCAAAGCAGGCAGGTGTTCTCAAACGGCTTCTAGGGATCCAGCCACAGATGCCTCTCCCTGTCTCCCACCCCAAGACTCGCTTCTGTTCTATCTGCCCACTGGAGCTTCACTGATTTGTCTGTTTATTTTCTGAGACTCTAGCTCTATCACCCAGGTTTGAGTGTAGTGGCCTGATCTTGGCTCACTGCAACCTCTGCCTCCCAGGCCCAAGTGATTCTCCTGCCTCAGCCTCCTGAGTAGCTGAGATTACAGGCGTGTACCACCATGCCCAGCTATTTTTTCTATTTTTAGTAGCGATGGGGTTTCACCATGTTGGCCAGATTAGTCTTGAACTCCTGGCCTTGAGTGATCTGCCCCTTGGCCTCCCAAAGTGCTGAGATTACAGGTGTGAGCCACCATGCCCAACCTTCTTCATTGATTTGTTTATTGCCTAGCCATGAATTCAGCATGTGGAAGAAATGTTAATACTTTGAGGTAAAAAGACAGACTAGGCCACCTAGAGAGCTGGTTGAGTTTCCCATCAAGGGAAGTATAAAGATAAGTTGGACACGTGGTGGGACACCCAGATCCCTTGTCCTTTTCTCTTAATCACTTCATTATTTTTCTAAGAATGATACATGGATAATATGGGTAGGCTTTGTGTCCCCACCCAGATCTCATCTTGAATTGTAATCCCATAATCACTGCTTGTCCAGGGAGAGAGCAGGTGGAGGTAACTAAATCATGGGAGTGGTTCCCCCATGTTGTTCTCGTGATAGTGAGTGAGCTTTCACAAGATTTGATGGTTTTATAAAGGGCTCTTCCTCCCTGGCTCAGTACTTCTCCTTCCTGTTGCCTTGTGAAGAAGATGCCTTGCTTTCCCTTTGACTTCTGGCATAATTGTAAGTTTCCTGAGGCCTCTCCAGCCACGCTGAACTGTGCATCAATTAAACCTCTTTCCTTTATAAATTACCCAGTCTGGGGCAGTTCTTTATAGCAGTGTGAAAATGGACTAATACAATGGTTATTATGAAGGAGTAAAGCAGGACAGAAAATTACAAATAAATCATCTCAAATGCTACCATCTGGAAAGAAATCTGTCTCTTAGTGGATAAATAGATAGATGCATGCATAGATGATGTAAACACGATGGAGAGATGGCGGATAGGTAGAATGACAGATGGTCGGTGGTTTTTAATCCTTTTGGAATCACAGACCTCTTTAGGAATCAAACTATAGCTTGACCTCAGAACTCCCTCATCAGAACAGCACATGCATACACATACATAGAACGCAACTTTGCACACAGTTTTAGGGGATTCATGAAAAGCTGCTGCCACAGAATGATTGATCTTTGTGTAGTCCCATGAAAAGATATATTTAATTTCATCATGGAAACAAAGAACAACTTAGCAAACATGAAAACAGTGTTATAGGCCTGTAATATATTCACAACGAGGAGCAGCTGCCACATTGCTTGCCCCAAACACACACACCACACCCACCCCCACAATCGAACGAGTGAACCAAACAAAACCAGCTGCTCTGACCTTTTCCATGAATGTATATTTGCTACTTGTTCATTCGTTCTGTCATCTGCTGGCACTTGCTCTCTAGAAACATGAAAGGTCATGAGCTCATGCCAGGACCCGCCATCTCCCTGCATTCAGACAGCTCCTACCCACCAGATGCTGGCCTGTCTGACGATGATGAGCCTCCCAATGCCAGCCTGCCCCCCGACCCACCACTTCTCACTGTGCCCCAGATGCACAGTGCCTGTGACCAGTGGCTGCAGGCTGCCTTCCACATCAGCCTCTGAAGAACTGGCGGGGCGGGGCGCAGGCGGGCATGCACCCATGCAAAAGTCTCAGAGACTCCCCCTTCCGTAAGCCCTTAGACTGCCATGCTGGTGCCTTCCCCCATACTGTGTCACCTCACGGGAGGGCCAGGCACCACTTGTATCTCTCAGACGCAAAACTGCCAACCCCTTTCGCCTGTCTTGGGTTGGCTAGCACTGGGACGGGCACCTAGGGTACAGTCTCTGCCCATGGCACTGGGCCTCCATTTCTTCCACATGTGTGCACCTCCAGCTTGGCCAACCCTCAGCCTGGCTGTGGGGCCCAAAGCATCTTCCCCTCCCCTTGGCGTCTCTGGGATTGGAATGAGTGCCTGGCTCCCATCTCCTTCTCCCCTGGTTGCTATTGGCAGCTGCTGGCTCAGGGGCATCCCACTTCCAGGCTCTGGGTTCCACTCTCGGGGAAGGGCTCCGGGACCCATCCCTACAGCCACCCACAGCCAGGAGGGCCAAGGCCCCAGGCTGGATATTCAAATTTAGAGTCTGGCCTCCAGGGTGCATAGATAAATACTCTCTCCGAGTCAAAAAAAAAAAAAAAAAAAAAAAAGAAATGTAAAAGGTAAAAAAAAAAGGATAGAAGAACGTTTCCAACTTGAGAGCATTCTATTGGCTATTTTAAATTATGTTCCTGTGAATTGGAGACAGATCACCATTATAATGTTGGGACAAAGCAGTGTGGTATGTGAGGAAAAGCCCAGCTTCACCATTTCTGTGGCCTTGGCAAGTTACTGTATTTCTCTGTTTCCTCACCAGCAGAATGAGTGTAATGGCATCTTAGTGTTATGACACAACTAAACGAGACACAGTAAGCAGTTGACACAGTAGATGCTCCATGCTAGTGGTGGTTGTTATAATAATCATAGTCTAGGCAGCTTAAAGACAGTAATAAATAGGAAGTGCTGCATTAATGCTAACCCCCTTAAAAAGCACTGTTGGTCAGTGTTCTGTGGGCACACAATGTGAGAACTGTTGGGCTTTTTAGCAAGTTAACGTAGGATGGGAAATAGTGCTGTGGCCAGCTTTGAAAAAATAAAATCTGCCCAACTCCCTCCGTCTTTTCATTCTCCTTGAACACTTTTTTTTTTTTTGAGTCAGAGTCTCGCTCTTGTCGCTCAGGCTGGAGTGCAATGGCACATTCTCGGCTCACTGCAACCTCTGCCTCCCAGGTTCAAGCGATTCTTCTGCCTCAGCCTCCCACGTAGCTGGGACTACAGGCACGCACCACCACACCCAGCTAATTTTTGTATTTTTATTAGAGACGGGGTTTCACCATGTTGGCCAGAATGGTCTTGATCTCCTGACCTCGGGATCTGCCTGCCTTGGCCTCCCAAAGTGCCAGGATTACAGGTGTGAGCCACTGAGCCCAGCCTGATTCTCCTTGAACACTTAATATACTGGTTTCAGATTGGCCAACATCTATGTTAATTTCCAATTGTTCTGCGAATGTACTATTATTGTCCTACTCTTGAGGATAGGGGAATGTTCATATGAAAAAAAAAACCACTCAGTTTATAATTTTACATCACCCTTGTCTATATAAAAAATTCACAGGTGGCCGGGCGCAGTGGCTCAAGCCTGTAATCCCAGCACTTTGGGAGGCCGAGACGGGCGGATCACGAGGTCAGGAGATCGAGACCATCCTGGCGAACACGGTGAAACCCCGTCTCTACTAAAAAAATACAAAAAACTAGCCGG